ATCGATTAAAAGTATGAAACAAACGAAACGAAAGTTGCCACAAAAAACATTTAGCTACTACCATTCATTTATTCATTCTCGGTATACATCTGTACTCTAACGGTATTATATAGAATATTATATTAACCATATAATCAAAAATTGAATACTCTATTTAAAATAAAATTTTTTTTACGAGATTTTATTTACAAGAGAAATGATATAAATTCAAAAATCACAAGACTTTAAAAATTACTAAATATTAAAAAGTTATAAAAGTTAAGTATTACAATATTAAAAATATTAAAAACTTATTAATTTTTATTATAATTTCTAATTCATCGCTTTCTTTCTGTATATAGAAAAATGTATGTATATAAGAAATATTATAAAATATATATTAAAAATTAATATATATAGTATTTGACAGTAGAAATGTAATCTTTTTGATAAAGTTACATTGATTGTGACGAAAAAGTTCTCGATTAAATGACTATTTTACTATTAGATTGTGATATCAGAAAGATATGATATCAGAGTATCTCGTTGTATCATAATTTTAAAATAAAAATAGAATAAATATTAAATTTTTTGTTTAAATCAGATAAATATTTTTCCTAAACTTGTTCTTTTTTTATTAGTTTAAACGATTTTAAAATAATCAACAATCGTTGGAGGGCAAAACAAACAATCGAGAAAATTCTAACTAGATATAGTGACTATACTGAAACATTTACTGAACAGAATTCGGCGCATACATTGCATTTGTTTCAAATTTTATAATTCCCGAAGGATTGTCTTATCTTGTGTGACAATATAACGCCAACTTATTCTGACGATTTTGTTAGATGTTTCTTCACAAATAAATAAATAACAATGCTGAGTTATCCATTCTATTCATTACGTTTAACGCAAATGGACTTTCTTTTATTCTCTAAACTCAAATTGTAAATATAATAAAAATGTTTTCAAAATATTTTTACGAAACAAATATGACAAACAAAGCAAATCAAAAGAGATTCAAAAAACTTGTTTGAAAAACAGCTTCCAATTAATACATAAACGTTACAAAAAAGCGTGTTGATCGGCAAGAAAACGTTAAACATATTATATATTTATATGTGTAACTATATTTTTTTATCACAATCTTGCATTTTTTTATAAATTGATTGTTTCGTTAGTCTACACATAAATATTTTAAGATTCAATCATCAAAAGATATCTTACCGTAATATTTATACACACAAAATGGAAAAGAGACACGACTTACAAAAAAAATATAAAGTTTTGTTTAAAAAATTAATATTGACTTAAAAATTTCGGAAATGCCTCCACCTGAAACAAAACAATTATCACAAAATGTGTGTATCTTCGTTAAAACAGAGTAAGTTTAATTTGATATATTTTTCGGTATCGCTTGGTTTTCGAGATATTCGCATGTGTTCTGTTCAAAATTAAATATCCTCTGTAATGTTATAACATTGTTTACATAGGTATAAACATTACAAATAATATTTTTGATTATGGACGAAGAAGGAGCGACATCAAATATGTCTGAAACTTTAATATTTCTCTGCTTCACACATTAGTAGGGACGAGTCGGCCGCGTTTATCGATTAGAAGGGAAGCTGTACCCCCACCATTATCCAACCATATAATTCAGCAGATAACATTACGCGAGTGATGGAGCATAAATAAGATAGATTAACAATCCATATATTAAACAAAACTATGTATAACGATTGTCAAAATTAGGCATTATTCAAATAAATTTTTACTTAATTCATCGTGATATAACGGAATTTTAATTACATTATTTATTGTCCTTATTACTGGTTATTCACGTTAATCATTATTATTTCATTTAATAACAGGGAACATAATCGTTGATCAGCAACACAAATAAATAAGGATTACATCCGTACTAAGAGTATGAAATCAACAGTAGCAACTGTATCGCATCCGCTAAGTATATTTGGGCTCGCAAAAATCAATACAGAAAGTATTACTTGAGACGACAAGAGAAGAATAATGTTCTAAACAAGAAATCAATAGATCACAAAATGAAGACAAAGAGTTTGACTACACGATCAGTTTCGTGATTATATGCAAAAAAGATATTAAAATATTGTACTATTTCGTTGTTCTTATTATTGAGTGTTTTTCGGTTAAAAAAGAACATAAAAAAAACATTTTAAATTAATTTATTGCATTTTGTAGATGCATCTAAAAATCGCAAAAATACATATAACATTGTATTACCAATCGGTTTCTCTCATTATTTTGCGTATGAAAAATTGTTAGTAATCGATTACTTTATGAAATATTTCATATTTTGTTTTAAAAACTATTGTAATAAAATGCAAAATAATTTATGAAGTTCTTAACAAAAAAGATTTAATCACAAAATTTTGGAAACGTTTTGACATTAATTATAAAACTGTAAAATAAAAATTTGGAGATTTGTATTTAAAAAGTTCAAAGAACTTTGATGTGACAAGTTCAGAATCAAATCCAAAATCAAGTTAATTAATTAATTCTCTACTTTTTTTCTTTCTCGAGTGTTACAACTTTAGTTTGAAACATTTTTTTGTATATCTGATCCCGAGAGAGATTTCAAGTTTTTATTTAAAATGGAGCATCTCTTTTGTATGTTATTCGAATATTCAAGTAAGTTTTTATTCGAATCGTTATTAGTAATTCATAAATAAGTTTTATTTGATTGAAAACTTATTCTTTATTTATAAGTAAAATTATTTCATTCGTCGTTTATTATTCACAAATTCTGCACAGCTTTCATTATTCGCGTGCCTGTACGAAGTGTTCCTCTGCTTTTAATAAAAATAAGCTACAACTAACAAAATGTAAAATACTTAAGTTTTTAGTAAAGTTGCAAGAGAAGTTTTCTTAGTGTGCCGGGCAGTATTTAATACTAGATAGGTGCCCTAATTACTAAATGTCAAAACCGATATTGGCATTATTATTTACAAAATGAATGAAAAAGGTAGAAATTATGAGTAAATGACGCAAGTCAAAAACGCACTCTTGCTTGACTATGCAAAGAGCTGTGAAAGAAACAGTACGAGATTATTAACGGATTAGGTAATGTAAGAGAAAAATGAAAAAATGCGATGAAATAACTGGGCTGCGATGCCTATGCCCGGATTAATGTCACGATATTAAAATAAGATGTTTCAACGTGTCAATGTGTAGAAGTAAACGTTTTTATAAGATTCACGATTACTTGGTGGTAGTTCTTTTTCATGTCGCGTACACGTTTGCTAGACGGACTGAACTTGAAGTTTAATGACGTGATTCACGCGACGGAACCCAGCAACGGTGCAACACCTGTTATTGTTCCATATACACACATAATAATTCGATGCTCACACGCGCAATACTCTCGTTAATGTCACGTAACCGCTTATCACATCTCATTAAGTGCCAGGAAATTTGATTCTGGCCCTGATATAACCACGAGTTCTAGTTAAATGTGATGTATTACTTCATCATTCATATTACAGATCACCGCAACAATTGTACTATTATACGTGGTAAAATCAACGTGCCAATCATCGAAATGATATGATTTGACGATAATAATAATTCAACGATAAGAATAATCGATAATTAATAATGGCTTAAAGAAAGAGTAAAATATTAATGAGAATATTTAGGGGTTAAGCATGGATTCTCTGTTACAACAAATTTTGTACAGTCTTTTTTTAACCTTTATCTAGACTTTTCGTACGAGAAGTCAATGTTTAAAAATTTAGCTAGAAGATATGATATAAATGCAAACAAAAGTTTTTTCCATAAATTTGATTTATCCTATTTTTTTATATTTTAATATCAATTTATAAATAATACGTGTGTGGCCGCGAGCATTTCTCACAATCAGTAAATAAACAAAAAATATTTCTATCTAAACTTTGTTATAAAAAAATTTTGGTTAGACATAACTGATTGTATAACAATATTATGAAAATGCAAAAAAATGACGGGTCATATTATTTTAAATATACATTATATATGAGCTATTTCTAATTAACTTTAACACTTAAACTTTGTAGTAATCATTATATTATATTAAAAAATTTAACTGTGCCAAATTAAAGTAATAACAGTTGTAAAAATTTCACTAATAATACTCTGGCGAATATGTGTTTATAAAACAAAATATTTATAAAACGAGTTTTCAACCATTTTTTAAATGTATGCAATTTTATCCTAAAATTTCAAATATATGTGTTAAAATAAAAAATAAAATTCTTCTCTATCTGGTCAAAAACAAATACCTACTCCTATTTTACTTTACAACTAGTATTTTAATGTACAAATCTATATCTTAACCTTAGACATTTTTTGTTTATTTTTGTGAATATCATATAATCTTTTATTTCTTAATTAACTTATGCATACACTGCAAAAACAATAAGACGAATAATCTCAACTATGCAGTACGATCAACCGTACGTTCGATATTGTTGAACTCCTACATTGCATACTTATCCATTTTGTGAACCAATAATAGAATGTTCATAAATTGTATTATTCCCTCTATGCTGTTATTCAACAACTTACATTTGTCGTATGATCATGTGAGCATGTGTAGAATGCAAATATCATTGCATCATCATAATCTCGTCGTATCTCATAAATATATTTTTCAACACGCGTGTCTATGTTCACAATACAAGTATTTAATTGTATAATTATTACGTTTGATGCAAAAACGAACGATGTAAATAATACTGCATAAAATCTATAACCAAAGATATACAGTTTTATACCATTTCTTAAGACTTCTTAAGATTCTTGAGTACTTAATGACATAGAAAAATTATAAAGTAAAAAATGTGCTTGCTAGCTTCTTTCTTTTATACACATATATTGTGAATTACTTTTATATTGATAAGCTAAAAAGCGATACAGAAGTACGAGAATATATGTAATATGGAAAAGAAGAAGAACTTGTGAACACTTTTCATGGCAAGGTATATACTTGTGTGTGTTTCCAGAATCTGGACAACTCATTATCAAGAGCATCGATGTACCAGCTATTGTAAAGGTCAGCGAGACTGATTCCATTATTCTCGATTGCGATTATGATCTTGAAAATACATCCAGTCAGGGCCTCGTCGTCAAATGGTATTTCAACACTGACCAATTGGTTTACCAATGGATCTATGGCAGGTACCCTCTAGCGGATGAACCAGCTGTAAAATACATTGATTTAGCGTACAAAACCAGCGATGATCCCTATACTGGATATCGAGCCATGAAGTTGAATAAGCCAGGTGTCGACCTTACTGGCGAATACACATGCGTTATATCTACTTTTGCAGATGAACGAACGGCGAACGCGTCAATGATAGTGTACTGTAAGTGTCATCTTACTTTCACAAAATAAATCTAATGTACAGTCCATGATTATCTACGATAAAGATAAATATTTATTTTTAAATTTATTATTAAATAGAATCTATTTTACAATGACTGTAATTGAAATTAATTATTGCAAATATAGGATTAAATTAAATTAAATTTTCAAAATTTGAAAATAATCTTGGAATAGTTGAATATCACATAGAACGTTTTTCTCTCCTTTTTTCCATCAAATTTGGACTTTTAGATCTGATCCAAAATATTTTCATTAATACGCGTAAAGGGCATAGGCGATTTAATACGCCGATGCCTTTTTAGTACCATTTTTACCTTCTGATCTAGACCGAAAATGATCTAATCAGATCGGGAGTCAAGTTTCTTAAATGGAATATATTCGAACTGTGCGACTCGCAAAATTTATTTTTCTTTCTCGAAACTTTCAAATAGTAAAAAACAATCCTCTTGTCGCTAAATTGTGTATTCTCTTTCTAAATGTACCATTTTCAACTTTCAATCTGAAGACAATAATCTACAGTACTTTCACCTAAATTTTTTAATAAAAATTAGTTGTTAGTACAGTATATTTAACTGTTGCAGCTACAGAAGAAAAATTTGACCTTATATACAGAAAAAAGACTATAGATGATAAAGATGGAGTTGAAATAACGTGCATGGCCGAAGGACTTTATCCTCAACCGATTCTAAACATCTCCGTCGAGTAAGTATTTTTAATCTATCAGAATGCTTTTACAATAATAGAAAGTGTAGTATTTTTTCATGTTTTTCTACATTATATAGCACTTGCATCTTTAACTATATTTTTACATTGAGTTTAAACATATAGCAGTATATCTGAAAAATAACGGGATTATTTTTTTTAATTTCTTGTGTAAGCGCCATGTATCTACTGACAATCAGTGGCATTTTGAAGCTTCATGTTTAACTTTAACAGGTTGGGTAAGTGCTACATTGTTTGGTTCATTTCACTCACTTGTAGTATCTGGCAACTTCGCAGGCAACTTAGCGATAAAGCATGCGCTTTGTTCTGGATACCATAGTAAATTATAAAAGACACGAGAGGCATCAATTTTATGACATACTCATTTAAAACTTGTATGATTTACGCAGGGATAACTGCGATTCAGTTATTGAAATTTGGTTATCGTTAAATTGATTTTAAATATGCATATCATTTTTAAAGAAATTATTATTTATAATTTTAAATACACTTATTCCAATAAGTACAAAATATTTTAATAACTTTTAATTATTTAAGAGGAGCTAATGTATCAAAGAACACGTTCTCAGAATTTAAATGCTGTTCCTGTTTTGTCTTGATCGTAATAATTGTGCTTATTGGTATTGCAGAGGTAATTTGGCGAAGCAAATGGGAAACCCCATCATAACTCAACGTGATGATAGACTATACAATATTTTATCTCGCATCACCTTATTAGACGAAAATTTACCAGAAACAACAATTATCAAATGTTTGCTCAGTATACCAAAGGCGATCTACAACGTTTCTCGTAAAACTGTTTATTACGCTGGTTAGTAATAAGAATTTAATTTAATAGAGTTTTGTGCAAAGTATAAATATATTATCATGTACATACATCTTTACATCTGAAATTACATATATTCGAACGCATCCTATCTACAGATAATCATGCATCATGATATTCATGAACATTGACTGAAGAATCAAAAACTTTTTTTTAATGACGATAACGATAAGAATAGAAAAAAATTCGCATTAGCAAAATTCTGATTTAAATTTGAACAACCGACCGGCGATATAAGAAATATATATATTGAATATTATAACTGATGAGTATTGTATATATATATATATATATAATATTTCTTGCGCAGGAACATTTACCACATCAACTACTACAACGAAGCTGCACCGTAAAATGGAGGTCCTGACCTTTGATAAGTCACAATCTGGTAATAGTGCTGGTAAGGTTTAAATATTATAAATTTATTTTATATATGCGTCAGGGAAAGGGTCTAAATATGCATAGAATTGAACGAACAGTAATATGTCGTGAACGGATACAGTCCCAGTCGAATGCAATCTGAATGGACATGGTCCTAAATATAGATGTAGAAACAAATATGTAAAAAATGCACATAAAAATAGACACTCACACAGACGTAGAAAATATAGATAGAAGAGAAAACGGACACATAAAGATTAAAAACCGACTTAATCCTAAATTACACATACATTACCTCTAATGCTTTCTGCGCAAAACAGATCTATAATTGTACGGTTTTGTGTAGAAACTTTTTACTCGATCAAGATCTGCTTTACATTGTCCGGTGCTTTTAATACGAGATTAAAATTGTATGGTTTAGCAATAGGTTTGCAATTTTCTACACAAAGCAAAATCTACCCAACATCCATCTCCTTTGAAGAATGTAACATGTCTTTTTTGAGATGCTATTTTTTTCAACTTTTATGTGTTTGTTTCCTTTCGTGTCCGATTAGGATTGTATTAGTATCAAATCTTTTACTGCAAAATTAAAAAATGCGTAGTGGAAAATATTTTTAAATATTAAATAATTAAAGTATTATAGGAATAATTTTTATGTGACAAACATAATTTTTTTTACATTACAGATGGCTCTATCGGATATACGTCAATTAATCTTTTATTGTTATCGATAAAGTTAGCTGTTTTCAATGTATTTCATCGATAACTTAATAGGTAAGTTTAAATATGTAACGTACACCAATTATACATGTTATATATTGTTATAATAAATTATGTCTTATGCTCATATAGAATGTCTCGCAACTATCATATAATATTTTAATTGCGTATTCTGCAAATTATTAGAATCGAAATTTTTTGTACGAAAATGCCGAGATATATATATATATATATATATATATATATATATCTCGGACATTTTCGTACAAAAAATTTCGATTCTAATAATTTGCAGAATACGCAATTAAAATATTATATGATAGTTGCGAGACATTCTATATGAGCATAAGACATAATTTATTATAACAAGTAATATATAACATGTATAATTGGTGTACGTTACATATTTGGTGTACACACATATCAATCACTCATTTGTTATTGATTTTTACAGCTCAATTAATATTGATGTTTGCTGGTCAGTTCATTGCAAGAAAAAGTAAAAAAGTAAAGGGATATTTTCAATTGATTTGGGAATACAAAATGTCTCTTTACTTTTTGATTTTGAAGAAAATAGAGAATAGTATATGTGAGCACTGTGTTAGGACGATGGTGCTCGATTTCAGCCAGTTGTACAGCCTTATTATAGTGTACGTAAAACATCTTATGTATATTTATGTATATAAAAAAGAAGTATTAGGGAAAGTCAAAGAGCAAACATTAAAGAAAGTAAATTCAATTAATTTAGAAAGAAAAAAAATATTTTTATTAAATATATTTTTGTAGGAATTATACTCGTTTGTCTCTATTTACTTGCTGACTATTTTTATAATATTCATTGTTTAATCTAGATATATTCTCTTTTATTCATTCATTTTTAATCGTCCGACTTTTTATTTGTCTAATTTTATTAATAATTTTTTGTACATTCTGTAACACAAATACTTTAATAATGTAATAATATTATTGCACCTAGTATTTTATAACGTCAGCAACTCATACATTGTCACTCATGTCTTACTCATTAACATTCACAGAGATTATTTGTAAAATAAATTTATAAAAATTAAAAAACACTATAATGTTTGATAACACTTGTACTATTAATTAATGTATTATAACACAAATTCTCAATAACAGAGAAAATTATTTTTAAAAAACTATTTGTCAATCAGTACGCCTATAACACGTCTTCATAACATCATAAACGCATGCGAAACGTAACTACCATCTTTCATTAATTATATTTTTTGCGACAAATTGTTTAATGCACGTCAAAATTGATCGCGAATAATAAAAATATGCCGATTGGTGCACACATAACAATATAAATACTAAATGAATACAAATATAATATAGCAATATAAACATCGCTTTAAAAAAATTATTAAAATAAATACTTTTACGTATAGCGTTCTATAAAATATTTCATTATTTATATTTATATTTTTAGATTATATGCCGTATCCTGATCAAGAAACGAATGCAGAATATATGAAGAAGATTGTTGGCTTTTTACATTAAACAATACATTATGCAAATTCCATAATTGTTCGAAAGATGAAAAGATCACTGTATCTTCTCTTTATTGTTTATTGTCACACACACACACACACACACACACACACACACACACACACACACACACACACACACACACACACACACATTAATTATTTTATTATAATTATAAATTTTAACTATATGCAATTATTAATATTCAACGATAAGTAAGGTAATTCAAATTTGAAAATAATTTAAAATTATTATGCGCGTGAATACGAATTATACATTATATTTCTACAAAGATACGAATATTATACCTTGTTGATTAGTGTAAGCTTGAGAAATAGATAACATATATTTTCTACACCAAAGCTTTAAGCGCTAGTCAACGATCTTTGTATGCAATCTTTCTGGTTTAATTATTATTTATTTTAGTTATGTACAATCGAATGATGGATCACAGAGCATTGACTATTGAAATCATTGCACAGTTGGATCTCTTCTGATAATCGCGTATTTCCCTATCATATTGTGATAAATAAAGCGCAAACGTGTTTGTAAGGTTTCACAATAAGTCTTCTCAGATTAGCGGTGATACGTTTTAATCATTTACTTATGCGATGATACATGTGCAAAAATATCGAATTCTTCTAGTCCTGATTTAATTGAAATCAAATAGATCCGTTGTTAATTTTTCTCTCAATCGCTTTTCTTCTTCTAATAAAGAAATGTATCCAAGTATTTCTTTCTATTTTGATTAGTTATGCATATATTGCAATATGCTTAAAAAATGCATATTATTTTCAAGTGATTAACTGTATTCCACATCAACAAATTGAAACATTTACTTGAAAAAAAAATTGATACATATAATTTTGAACATATATCGTCCACATAATGAAATATATGAAAAAATGTTTCGATATCATCGAGTAACGAGCAAATAAATCGTATACAGATAGAATGCATACAAAGATGTTTTCAATTCATTTCTTGTAAATAATTTTTCGAAAAATTATATATGGTTAATTAATCATTTTTAATTTAATATTTAATAAATTATTAAGTTTCCAAAAGTAATAGTAGAGGTAGTGAAAAAATGTTAAAATATATTAAAACTTCGACAAACCTAAATGTATCATTATAAACAGACTTAAAAGTCATAAAATTTTTATTTCAAACATTTTTTCATATATATCTCACTACTTCGACAACATTATTATTACGCGATTTTTTCCCCCCAAGAAAATGTTTCAATCTCCATAACATACAAGAGAAAGAGAGAGATTAAGAAAATATTTGTTTTTTATTTTGGTATGTAACTTAATGTTTTTTTTCTGTAAAAAAAATTATAAATACGTATTAAATTACAGACTTGAAAAAAATGTTGATCTAAAAAGTTGAAGCACTGCTTCATCTTGCTACGCACAATTATATTACTTGCTAGTAGCCTAAAAACAATGCAGACATATTTTAATTTGCGGATGATTTTATCAATATAAAGCTCAAATATTTTTCTACAAACAAATATAGAAAGTGATCCATTATAAGCTATAAATGGATTTATCTCAAAGTATAGCAAAAACAAGAGAGAGTATTCACATACTCAAGTGACATTTACGTGCTAGAATTAGTATAATAAACGTTTATTTAACAATAAACATCAAATAAAAGGCACACTATAAAAAAATCGAAATATATCATAAACTTTTTTTCAAATATCTGACACTAATATTTTTATGTACAGAATAATGAGAATTGATGTATATTTTTAAAAAATATATAATTTTATCGATATAACTTTTTTATCGAATTGCAGAGTGTTAAACACGTAAATTTAAGAACAAAACAATTTGTTCTTTTTTTGAGCTTACAATTAGAAGTGTAAAGATAAACGTGAAAAGTGTTCTCTGTTTTTATGGAATAGTGTAATTTTATTTCAGAACATTGAGTTGATTTTTGAAACGTTTCCATCCTTAAAACAAACTCATGCAGTATCTGATATTGTGCTTTCGAAACAATTTATTGTAACTTTTGTATGCACTACTTATTTTGTTTCCCAAGGTTGTAGAGATAACTCTATTTATAGATATACAACAGATCACATCCTGTATATGTTACCAAAAATGTTATGTAAATTGAGCAAAAATAAAAAAAGTATTTTAATAATGAATAAAAAATTATATATTTTAAAATTGTTAAAGATATTTTTTGTCTAAAATGCATATCCACTTAATAAAAGTCCACTTTTAAGTGGACTTTTATTAAGTAGATATGAATAAATTTCCAGATAAAATAAGCTTTACAAAGCTATATTATTTATTAATTAACTTGCGCTAATACTAGTGTTCTATATATCTAGTATCAGTAGCCATTTCTTCTCTCTGAAACCAAGATATGTCGTTAGTCATCTACTGTATATGTATATACAAAAATATTACATTTTGTTTCTTCTATAATAACCTTTTGCTTTGCATCAGGTTTAAGTACATTTCGGATTATCGGAATACCGAAATCTCAGGAACCACACCCTAGTATTGAACAATTACTTATTTTTATCAGTCATGCTTATCTATTAAACATGTCATTATGTGGCATGCTTTATCATAATATACTCCTTTTACTAAAATAAAAATAATAATATTAATTTTTTGCTATTTTATCACCAAATATTCGTGCAATTGCTAGCTCGCAATGCAACGAAAATTCATGAAACCTATTTCGATACTTGCAGATATTTGTATAATGTGTGCGTGTGTATATGAGTGAGCATACATGTGTATGCACGCGTGCGTATGTATAAAAAGTAATATTTGTATTATTGTTGCGGTGCAAATACTTCGAAATATAAATACAAATGTATAAAATATTGAAGATTACAAATAAGAATGCATTAAATATGTTTTATTAAAATGATATTTCGTGGTCATATCAATGATTGTGAGATAAATGTAGAAATATTAAGCATGGTTATTCTATAATTACGAGGATAAATCAAAAAGTAAGAGGACAGTTGAGGAATCAAACCTCTCTCCACAACCTTCTGTCTTTCCTTCTTTCTTTAGTTTCTCCAATCTTTCGTGAATCTACATACGACAATTGTCTTTGTTTTGCGGTAGCTACATATACAGCATGCATTAGTAACAATGCATTTGTAACAAATGATTACGTAATTTTTAAATTAATGGTATTAAAGTTTAGTATAAAAATTTTATCATATTATTTTGAAAATATCTCGATATTTCTGAAAAAAAAACACGCAATAAAAAATATTCTTAAGTAAAAAGTTTAAACGGAGCTTAAAATCTTCAACTTCACAAATAATATCAAAAAATAGTGCGTTATATGAATCGCTCAGAATCCAAACTGATTAACTCCACTTTTTGCAATTTTTTCAGTTTTAGTACCAAAGTACGTGATCGGTGCTCAACTTTTCGCAAATAAAATTAATTGATGGAGTTTTTTGTTTGATGGAGTTAGTCAGTTTGGCTTTTGAAAGCGGCTCATTTAGTGACTCTCTTCAACCTATTGTTGGAAACATTTTGTACTAAAGCCTATATTTCCAGAGTTATCAAAGTAGTCTCAATTGCATTATGTATATACTTTCTCATCATTTCATATTAATAATTTTTTATGCGTTTTTAATGTTTTAGTTTAAGGCACATACACTGGCGAATACTGAGAGGGGGGGGGGT